GTGGCTGACTCTTAACTTTTATAAAGAATATCTCTTTGGATTTGAGACTTTAGTCTTTGCAACTTTACAGATCTTCTTTATGCACCAAGAGCTTGTAACACTCCAAAGAGAAAGGAAAACTTGAAATCGCATCATATGACCCCTTTAATTTAGTTGTAGCAATTTTAAGGCCATGAAAAGTCTTAAATACATGAAATGGTGTAAGAAAAGTCTTAATTATAATTTCAGGGTTTTAAATTTGGGGACGAAAGACAGGAATTGCGAAATGGTTTAATGTGATGGCTGAAGTTCAATATAAAATGTGAATAAAAGTGCTGCAGGTTTCAATGGTTCCACCATCACACTTTCCATTTAGGCTATTGTTGTGAAATGAAAAATGGATCATACACCAAATATTATACAGTTGCATTGGTAAAACTTTTTAACTGAATAATTTATGGCCTTTTATGACAGTTTGCACCACTGAATGGCCAAAACCTGCCAAGCTCGGGAACAGCTAAAAAGCTGCATTGTTTCTCAGTCCAAAGTGAGTTAACATCACTTTTCTCCTGCAGTTCCATAAAAATACAAACAAGCTGACCCTCTCTCCAGAAAGGAAATTATGTTTGTCTAGACAGGATATAGTGTGGCACAGTAGGCCTGAGGCAAGTGCACCTGTTTCTCTGAGGTCATTATATCATTTTATTTTGGAAAATTAAATGGGTTGGGAATATGTCTTTAACTGTAAGTAGCGTAGTGTTTGTAATGCTTGCATGTACAGAGCAGAAGTATTATATTTGTTCTCTGTTTGAATAATCATATTGTTCATATATATACAGTATGTGCCTCTATTAGGGCTGGTAATTTAACGCGTTAATTAGAATAACGCGTTAAAATTATTTTAAAATTATACTTGCCCCGCCCCAGACCTATGTGGATCTTCTGACATTTGATTGATGACAAATATGAGGCAGGGCAACAACTCACTGCGTGATGGATAGAATGTTCCTAAAATTCAAGATATGGCGCAAAAATGCCCCCGTTTTTGTCTCATATTTACATCATATAGTTAAGCAATAGGCCTATCACACGAGCAATAGGCTAAGTGCAATATCACACGAGTGATCAACAGTTCAGTAAGTAAGAAGTTAATACTAGGGGTGCTCCGATTGATCGGCTACCGATCACAATCGGCCAATAATCGCTTTGGGATGATTGTTCGGCGGTCTCTAAAAAGGCCGCCGAAACAGTCTCTGTCCGGTGCGGGTGAAATAATTATAATGCTTTAGGTGAGGTACAATTCATATTTCTTCATTAAATAACTTATAAATTAATTTGAAAAAGTTTCTGTGATACATAATTTCACAAACAGCGTGAGTGAATCACTGCACGCGCTCTCTTTCTCTCTCAAAATGCAAATGTCTTCAAATTACATCTGCACTATAAGCAGTGTTCGGACTATACCGTGGACTTTGGGGGAGCCCATTTGTTGTTGGTGGGGGTAACTTACAAAGATACATAACAACTACAAGTGTATGCACTACTTGCTTTATGCAAGCACTATATAGGATAAAACACTATACAGGATTTACCCTATTATACTTTATCGACACGAATTGATAGGTGAAACAACAAACAGCCACCCACAAATAGTCTATGTGCGCTCATGCACAATCGCAGCGCACACACATAACGCCAGGTTCACATTACTTTGCTTGCAGTGCGTATGTGGTGCGTATTTTTTCCGCGCTCATGTTAACGGATTAAAGCGTTCACACTGCACACACGGTTGCGGTCTGGCAGTGGCAGTGCGTTTAGGAGCAGTGCATCTGCAGCAGTGCAGAGATCGTTTTGCACTGAGTCTATTTTTGCTGCGCCTCACGCACTGAATTAAAGTAACAGCGCATTGTTTGCGGTAAATATGATCATGCATTGACACAAAAATGTAGTAATTACACCATAAATGCATATAATTAAAGTCTAC